AAAAAAAAAAAAAAAAAAAGATTTATAAACTTAAGATTTATCTCAGAATGAACACACTTTTGTCTTGAATAAATGTTCTTATGTTTCTTTGAAGAACAGTGACACCTTGTGAAAAGTTAATATAATAGCAAGAATATAATCCTTGTACAGTTCAAGAGGAATTTTCTGATCCACTTAACAGTTACACTGAGAATAATAAAATAAAATAAAAGTCTTATTTTAATACTTAGTAGACTATTTGTAAAGTTATAAAACAAATAATTTACCGTGTTTTACCATTACAACTCATAACTTATTTTGTTCCTTTGTAATAAACTGAGAAACTGACTTAGTGGATATCAGAATCTCTATTTGAAATTCTTGGAAAGTAAAATTTCAAAGTAGGAATAACAAATTTTCATTGTTTTGTATATTTTTACAAAAGTTAAACAGATAAAAATGCTGAAGAGGGAGTCAAAGAAAACAGATTCATCTAAGATACCAACTTTACTTAATGTGGATCAAAATCAAGAAAAACAAGAGGTAACTCTTTTTGTATATAGCTTTTACTAAGGCGTGTTGTTTAGAGGACTTGACTCAGTGTATAAATTTAGTTATTACTATTGGAAAGCTATATAAAAATTCAAAATTTTATAATCTTTGAACTCAAGAAATAGATCTGTATTTTCCTAGAATAACCCATTAATAAAAGTTTCTAAAAGTTATTTTTTAGTGTGTAATGTTGAATAATTAGAATGCATGGCACCCGGGGAAAATAGTATCTATATTGTGTGTAATGTCAGATATCAGGCAGGTAAGCCAGACTAGTGAAAATGAATAATGGTATAAATATATAGTTATATGGCCACAAGCATGTGTGTCTCTGTCTTAGAGCCTCTTCCTTCCTTCTTGTTTTCTCTCCAGTTTATTCCCCTGTCTATCTCTGCTGTCTGCCTACTGTCCTATTTTAACAAATATTTGCTCTCAGCTAACTATCAGGTAATCTTGTTGAAATATTCCCAGTCCCTACCCACCAGAGAGATTCTCAAATTTTATTTGAAAATCTTGAAGCCTGTAACATCCAAATGAATGCTCTATAAAGACAATCTTTTAAGAGAAAGAGATTGTGCCAAGCACCCACTGAATTAAATCATATTGATGGCCACCTATTCTGCACTTGTGAGGTCATTTCTGTATGTGATTTATCAACTTCTGTTTTTTTTTTTTTTTTTTGAAACAGAATCTCACTCTGTCGCCCAGGCTGGAGTGTAGTGGCGCAATCTTGGCTCACTGCAACCTCTGCCTCCTGGGTTCACAGCATTCTCCTGCCTCAGCCTCCCGAGTAGCTGGGACTACAGGCACCCACCACCACACCTGGCTAATTTTTTTTTTTTTTTAATATTTTTAGTAGAGATGGGGTTTCACTGTGTTAGCCAGGGTGGTCTCGATCTCCTGACCTCATGATCTGCCCACCTCAGCCTCCCAAAGTGCTGGGATTACAGGCGTAAGCCACTGTGCCCGGCCTAACCTCTATTTTTTAAAAAAATAATATTACAGTTTTACTCATGATAAAATTAGTATATACTTATTAAGAAAATTTGAAGAAATTAAAAATGTTTAAAAAAATCTGAAACTCCGTAAGAAGGCATTTTAACAAGGCTACTTGATCTCTATAATATTTGGATAAGAGGGTTATCAGATGCCATTAGATGTATTCTCACTGTGACATTTAGGGCTATCTCTTTAGTCTTGGTCTAGAGCTTGTTAAGAACTCCACAGTCCACTTTGCAGAAAAGAAATGTCGTAGAACAAGAACGCCATTAGGCCAGGCACAGTGGCTCACACCTGTAATCCCAGCACTTTGGGAGGCTGAAGAGGGTGGATCACCTGAAGTCAGGAGTTCAAGACCAGCCTGGTCAATGTGGTGAAACCCTGTCTCTACTAAAAATACAAAAATTAGCTGGGCATGGTGGCGCATGCCTGTAATCCCAGCTGTTCGGCAGGCTGAGGCAGGTGCTTGAACCTGGGAGGCGGAGGTTGCGGTGAGGCGAGATCAAACCATTGCACTCCAGCCTGGACAACAAGAGCAAGACTCTGTCTCAAAAAAAAAAAAAAAAAAAAAGAAAAAGAAAAAGAAAAAGAAAGAAAGCCATTAATAGGCATCTTTCAGTTCATTATAAAAAGTAATAAGATGGCTTTAAACTTTTAAATTTGGGTGACATACTCATGTCACAGCATGTTGCACAGCATACCATTTGCACATTTTTTCAATGATTTGGGTGAGTTAGGGCTCCTGAGGTAGGCAGACTATTAATGTGCCTCATGTTTATCCCGTTGTCCTATGAGAGTCCCCAGGAACTAAAATTACTTTCTAGTCTAGGAAAAAAGGAACTCTGCAGGAAAAAAGACCCTTCTGTGATTTTTAGGATAAATAATAAATTACAAAGGGAAAACATCTTCTTGTTCATATGATATAGAACTCCAGAAAAAAATGAAGTCATCAGTGTTTGTTATAGTTTATTTGTACTGCTCATTCAAATGCAGCTCTGACAAGTGACTGAAATTGCATATAAGGCTAGTACAACTGGTTTTAATAAATGTCAGAATTAAGAAGATGTCTTCAATTTTGAGTCTGTAGTTTATTTTAGAGCATGAGAGAATATGACATATTTTTAAAAACATAAGATAGGGAATTGCTAGTTATTTTTTCTATTCTTGGCTCTGTATTGACTTGGTTTTTGAATTATACAATCAGATCCAAGCACTTCTCAGGTTTACTTTCTTTTTTTATTATTATTTGTTTATTTATTTATTGAGACAGACTCTCCCTCTGCCACCCAGGCTGGAGTACAGTGGTGTGATATTGGCTCACTGCAACCTCCGCCTCCTGGGTTCAAGCAATTTTCCTGTCTCAGCCTTCTGAGTAGCTGGGATTACAGGCGCCCACCACCACGCCTGGCTAATTTTTGTATTTTTAGTAGAGACGGGGTTTCACCATGTTGTCCAGGCTCATCTTGAACTCCTGACCTCAGGTAATCTGCCTTCCTCAACCTCCCAAAGTGCTGGGATTACAGGTGTGAGCCACCACGCCTTGCCAGGTTTACTTTAAACTATTTCAGCCATCTTAAATGTGCATGCATGCATTAATTAGGTTCTGTAACCAGAGAGAGACTCTAAATTACTGTGAATGAGTGAGTTAGGCAAGAGAGAAAGAGTCCATACAAAGGCCACCTTTTGTTTTGTTGGATGAAATAATAAGGAATTCATTGCTAAATAGTTTCCCTGTACCTTATGAAACAACCCGTAGGGGCAAAGTACAAGTATTTATCTCTGGCTGTATTTCCTTAGCCAAAGACTCACCATGTCCTCAATTAAAGACCTGTTTCTATTTACTTTTTAGAATACAGGAAATGCACAAACTGAAAGGAAGAAGAATCTACCAGATGTAGAGTAGAAAATGCAGCAGCTGAAAATTCAGGGAATCCCAGAATCACTGTATGGTTTAAAAAAAATCCTTTTTATTAATGTTACATACACAAAAATACTAACTAGAGAATTCTACAGGTATATTGTAAATCCTTTTAGTTATATGTACATTCACCTAAATTTGTTTTTAAATTTATTAATCTTTAAATTATTCATGTTTTCTTAATTTGAGCATGAATTTATAAAAACTATCTGACTGGTACATCCTAATAAAATTTCAGCTTACATTTAGTCATATAATTTTATTTGATCACCTATTATTTCAATCACACTTGATTAGTGGTCATTCTTAGCATTGGTTTAGAGCTTTATAATTACAGAAGGAAAAGTTTCTAAATATGTAATAAAGTAGGATCCCGATGCCTGGGAACACCAAACATTTCTGAGCAAACAAATATACTTGATAAGCATGCAACATGGGTTTGGCTTCACACTGAACTTTCTGGGGCAGTATTTAAATATATCATGAAGATTGTTTAAAAGGATGGAAATTGGTCGGGCACAGTGGCTCACGCCTGTAATCCCAGCACTTTGGGTGGCTGAGGCAGGTGGATCATGAGGCCAGGAGTTCAAGACCAGTCTGGCCAGCATGGTGAAACCCCATCTCTACTAAAAATGCAAAAAATTAGCCGGGCATGGTGGCGTGCACCAGTAATCCCAGCTACTCAAAGGCTGAGGCCGAAGAATTGTTTGAACCTGGGAGGCGGAGATTGTAGTGAGCTGAGATCACGCCACTGCACTCCAGCCTGGGCAACAGAGAGAGACTCCATCCTGCCGCACCACCCCCGCAAAAAAAAGGATGGAAGTTGAGCAAGGCATTGAAGCAAATCTTTTGGCTTGGCTAGCATGTTTATAATTTAGTAATTTATATGTAATTTAGCATTAATAAAGTCAGAGTTTTGGTAGTATATATTTACATTCTAGTCCCTGATTCTTACTAGCTTGGTTTCTAATTTTAGGGTGGAGATGGCCATTGTGAGGGGAAGAATTTGAAGAGAAACAGGTTTTTTTTCTGGTAGTGTCTTTTCTTTTAAATAGTCCTAAAAATACAAGATGACAACTCTTCCCTTTTTATTTATCTACGATAGAAATGTGATGTGAGTTATTGTTAAGACAGCCATCCATGTGCATGAGCATCATCCAGCTTTTTTTTGTTAGCAAAGCCATTACTGTTTTCTTCTCCCTTTTAAGACTGTTGATGTGATAATTTGATTTGGAATTATAAAGTCATCTTTTCTCTGCCTACTTCTTTTTTTGCCATGATTACTGGGTGGGTAACACATGCCGTGACATGATACAAACTGTACTTATACTTAATGATCTCTGCCTTCTCATAGCCACATAACCTCAAGTCAGTTATCTCCTATAACACATAGGCCTCTTTAAATAAGTTCTTAATAAAATATTTGAGCCATTGTTTTAAAAACTGTTTGTGATTGGTTGCAATGGCTCATGCCTGTAATCCTAGCACTTTGGGAGGCTGAGGCGGGCGGATCACTTGAGGTCAGGAGTTCGAAACCAGCCTGACCAACACGGTGGACCCCCATCTCTACTAAAAATGCAAAAATTAGCTGGGTGTGGTGGTGCACGCCTGTAATCCCAGCTACTCGGGAGGCTCTGAAACAGGAGAATCACTTGAATCCGGGAGGCCAAGGTTGCAGAGAGTCAAGATCATGCCACTGCACTCCAACCAGGGTGACAAGAGCAATACTCAAAACACACACACACACACACACACACACACACACATACACACACATGCTATTCATGGTTGGGCACAGTGGCTCATGCCTATAATCCCAGCACTGTAGGAGGCTGAGGTGGGCAGATCACCTGAGGTCAGGAGTTTGAGACCAGCCTGACCAACATGGAAAAAGCTCATCTCTACTAATAATACAAAAATTAGCTGGGTGTGGTGGCGCATGCCTGTAATCCCAGCTACTCGGGAGGCTGAAGCATGAGAATCGCTTGAACCCAGGAGGCGGAGGTTGCAGTGAGACGAGATTGCGCCATTGCACTCCAGCCTAGGCAACAAGAGCAAAACTCTGTCTCAAAAAAAAAAAAGATAAAAGGAAAAAAAAGCTATCATTACATTACATGGTTAAAAATATGTTCTATTGGTCAGCAATGAAAGCACTTATTTATAATTTAGCAGCATCTCTGATCTAAAAATCAAGAAAATATATAATGTTTATAAAATATTTAAAAATAATATGGTATTCAAATGTTAAATTGTTTTATCTGTGATTTGAGGGACCAAAATAGATGCCCCTTTATCAACTAAGATGGACCCTAACATTAAGGAAACAAAAGTTACCTCTGGGTTGAGGGTTCAGGGCTGAGCTGGCATGACAACTTTCTAAATTCCTAGGCTGTAAGAAAAATCACAGTCTTGCTGGGTGCAGTGGCTCACGTCTATAATCCCAGCACTTTGGGAGGCCAAGGCAGGCAGATCACCTGAGGTCAGGACTTCGAAACCAGCCTGATCAACATGGCAAAATCTTGTCTCTAGTAAAAATACAAAAATTAGCCAGGTGTGGTGCCAACTACTCTACTTGGGAGCCTGAGGCAGGAGAATCGCTTGAACCCGAGAGGCAGAGGTTGCAGTGAGCTGCACTCCTGCCTGGAAGACAAGAGTGAGACGACGTCTCAAAAAAAAAAAAAAAAAAAAAAAAAAAAAAAAAAAAAAAAAAAAAAAAAAAAAAAAAAACCACACTCTTGCTAAACTCCCTAACAACACAAGCTGTGAGGCAAATTCCTAATCCTGATTTACAACCTAGACTGCTACACCTCTGACTGGATAGAGATCCGTGTGTGTGTGTGTGTGTGTGTGTGTGTGTGTGTGTGTGTAGAGACAGGGTCTTGTTCTGCTGCCCAGGCTGGTCTTGAACTCCTGACCTCAAGCAATCCTCTCACTTTGGCCTCCCAAAGTGTTGGGATTACAGGCATAAACCAGCACGCCTGGACACAAACATTCTTTCCTGATAAGCAACTATAGACCTTAAGTAAGTTTCAGCCAGTTTATAGAGACTGCACAAACTGTCTTTATGTCTTATAGTTCACCTTTTGATGTAAAGAGACAAATTCTACCTCATCTTTTTTTTTTTTTTTTTTTGAGACAGAGTCTCGCTCTGTCGCCCAGGCTGGAATGCAGTGGCCGGATCTCAGCTCACTGCAAGCTCCGCCTCCTGGGTTTACGCCATTCTCCTCCCTCAGCCTCCAGAGTAGCTGGGACTACAGGCGTCCGCCACCTCGCCCGGCTAGTTTTTTGTATTTTTTAGTAGAGACGGGGTTTCACCGGGTTAGCCAGGATGGTCTCGATCTCCTGACCTCGTGATCCGCCTGTCTCGGCCTCCCAAAGTGCTGGGATTACAGGCTTGAGCCACCGCGCCCGTCAATTCTACCTCATCTTAATGCTTAAAGTCCCATTCCAAAGTGAACATGGGATGTATATTACACTTATATGTGCTTGTCCATTGCACATGTGCTCTGTTCCTCTCATAAATATGTATAACTTTCCCCGCAAACCTGCTGAATATGTATGACTGTCTTGTGTTGTACAGGCCCTGTGAGGCACAAAACCCAGCCTGCTCTTTTCCTCTTTGAAGAGAAAGCACCTTCAGTCCATGCTGGAGATTGTCTCTTCCTGGTTTGCAAACTGATATCACCAATAAAACTCCCTTTTTCTACTATTTAGCCATCTTGGTGGTCTTTTGGATGACATATTCTGTTAAATAATTGTCAGCACTCAGCTGGGCATGGTGGCTCACGCCTGTAATCCCAGCGGTTTGGGAGGCTGAGGCAGGCAGATCACGAGGTCAGGAAATCGAGACCATCCTGGCTAACACAGTGAAACCTCGTCTCTACTAAAAAATACAAAAAATTAGCGGGCATGGTGGCGGGCGCCTGTTGTCCCAGCTACTCGGGAGGCTGAGGCAAGAGAATGGCGTGAACCCGGGAGGTGGAGGTTGCAGTGAGCTGAGATTATGCCACTACTGCACTCCAGCCTGGGCAACAGAGCAAGACTCCGTCTAAAAAAATAAAAAATAAAAAATAAAAAATTGTCAGCACTCTTCCAGTTTCCTAGTTCCATCTGATGATGCCTTCTGTGTGGTACAGACTTGTTCTGTTTCATGAAGTATACAATGTACAACCCAGCACTACCAAAATTCTGAATTTTCCTGTTCTTCAAAAAATAATTAAATTGGATTACCTAGTGTTTTACCAGGACTCTACCTAATTTTATATTTACTAAAGAAACCTGAAAAACAAAGGAAAACATAATATATTATAATACTGTGATCTCTGTTAATCTCGAAAAAGCTTAATTAGAATTGCTAGCTGAGGTCATTATACATAATATACCTTTCTAACAGACTCCCTGGTGGCCTCAGCAACTATTGGGTTGGTGCAAAAGTAATTGCTCCTCTAGGGTAATTAAGAGTTATTCCTGTGGTAGGTTCAACAGGTATAAATCTGCTGATTGCCTGTTTTATGTATATATTTGTTGATCCTTACACCAATATCAAAGATTGTCCATTTTCAGGAGTCAATTTCTACAAAAATGCCTACTGGAATTTTGATGGGATTGTGTTAAATCTATACATCAATTTGAGAATGGATATCTTAACAATATCAAGGCTGGGCTTGGTGGCTCGCACCTGTAATCCTAGCATTTCTGGAGGCCGAGGCAGGCAGACTACTTGAGGTCAGGAGTTGAAGGCAGCCTGGCCAACATGGTGAAACCCTGTCTGTACTAAAAATTAAAAAAATTAGCTCTGTGTGGTGGCAGGCACCTGTAATCCCAGCTACTTGGGAGGCTGAGGCAGGATAATTGCTTGAACCTGGGAGGTGGAGGTTGCAGTGAACCAAGATCGAGCCACTTCGCTCCAGCCTAGGCAACAGACAGACCCCATCTCAAAAAAAAAAAAAAAAGAAAAAAAAAATCAAGTCTTTCAATTCACGAGCATGATACAAACTCTTTATTTAGATCTTCTTTAATTTTCCTCCACAATATTTTGTAGTTTTCTGTAGCAATCCGATACATCATTTGTTAAATTTATTTTTATATATTTTGTTTTTTGATGCTGCTGTAAATGGTATTGCTTTTTAAAATCTCATCTTCCAGTTGTTTGTTGCTAATATATGGAAGTACAATTTGTTTTTCTATGTTGATCTTGTATCCTGAGACCTTGCTAAATTCACTTATTAGTTCTGGTAAGTTTCTGGTTTTCCTTCTTTCTCTCCTGACTCCCTCCCTTCCTTCCTTCCTACCTTCCTTTCTTCTTCTCCTTCATCTTCTTTGTTTATTTTTAGGATTTCCTATATAAATTGGCCCATGTAGGATGCCTCCCTATATAGGCAATCATGACATCTACAAATAATAATAGTTTCACTTCTTCTTTTCCAGTGTTATGCCTTTATTACTTTTTCTTGCCTTATTGCACTGGCTGGTATTTGTGATACAATGTTGAGCAGAACTCATGACAGTGGACATTTGCTTTTTTTTCCTATAGCAGAGGGAAAGCATTTTTATTCCACTAAGTATGATGCTAGCTATAGGTCTTATGTAGATTACCTTTATTAGATTGAGGAAGGTTCCCTCTGTTCTAATTTCCTGAGTCTTTACCATGAATGGGTGTTGAATTTTGTCAAATGCCCTTTCTTCATCTATTGAGATGGTCTTATGATTTTCCTTCCTTCTTTTTGTTAATATGAATTATATTAATTGACATTTGAATGTTAAACCAACCCTACATTCCTGGGATTAAAATCCATTTGAGGCTGGGCACAGTGGCTCAAGCCTGTAATCCCAGCACTTTGGGAGACCAAGATGGGCAGATCACGAGGTCAGGAGATCGAGACCATCCTGGCTAACCCGGTGAAACCCCGTCTCTACTAAAAAATACAAAAATCTAGCCGGGCGAGGTGGCGGATGCCTGTAGTCCCAGCTACTCTGGAGGCTGAGGGAGGAGAATGGCGTAAACCCAGGAGGCGGAGCTTGCAGTGAGCTGAGATCCGGCCACTGCACTCCAGCCTGGGCGACAGAGCAAGACTCCGTCTCAAAAAAAAAAAAAAATAATAATAATAATAAAATCCATTTGATTCTTTTTATGTATTATTGGATTCAATTGATAAATATTTTTTTTTTTTTTTTTTTTTTTTTTTTTTGAGACAGATTCTTACTCTGTGGCCCAGGCCAGAGTGCAGCCGTGTGATCATAGCTCACTGTGATCTTGAACTCCTG